GGGTGGCACAGGGCTGGCTCCCAGCACCAAGCAGGGACAGTCAACCTCATGCCCACCCAGAGGGCAGCCCCCTTCCCTGGGGCAGAACGGAGGGTGGGACATCGGCAGGCAGGTTTGTGGGGTTGAAAACAAAAGCCAGGGAAGAGCTGGTGCCGTCCATCTCTTCTCAGCAGTAGGCAGCAAGGTCCTCTTCTGAGACCACCAGATGAGCGAGGCTTCAGACAGGAGGGTGAGGGTTTATATTTAAAACCCTTCTCAGCAGAACAGAGAACAGGGTTGGGGAGGGGAAAATGGGACACATACCAAATCAGGCTAAGACTCAAGCTCGGGCTGCAAACCAGCCCTGTCTACCACACGAGTTTAAGTGACCAGTAAGATCTAAGTGTCCTCTATACCCAAGCTGGGGGTTGCGGAGGGCAGAATTGGGTATGGACAGGATAAGAGGGTAGCAGGAGAAGCAATGGGAGTGTCTTGCAAAGAAAATGGCCGAGGTATATATCCTGGCCTCTCAGTAGACCAGTATGTTGGAAACCTGATACCCAGGAATAGCTAAAGTGCAAAAGGCTGTAGTTAGGGCTTCAGGGGAGGTGTGAGTGCCCCAGAGCACAAGGTCCAGCGTGAGGGGAGGCTTGGGGCTGGAAGGGTTGTTCTAAGGATGAGCAAGGCATTCAAGGAGCCTGCCCTCAACTCATCCTGATGCCATTCAGGCGCTGCAGGTGGCAGGAACCAACCAGTCCCACCACCTCATTCAAAGACCCTGACAGACTTAAGATCTATCCAGCTATCCTCAGATGGGTGTGAGGCCAGCAGGGCTGCATCCCCACCCATTGTTCCCCCATCCCCGTGTCCAGGAGTGGTCCTTTCCCATGGAAACCCACTCTGCCCCCTGGGGTTGGAGACAGAAGCAGGGAAGCCGCAATCAGAACACGTGGACCCCCTGTGGCCTTCCCAGGGGCAGGGCCACTTGTACAAGCCCTCCCAGCCCCGTTGCCCTCACCCCAGCCCCGCAGGCGGTTCCGGTCAGGCCGGAAGCACGTGGCCCCCCACCCCATAGCGGTTGCCTTGGAGACGGGGCTGTTTACCAGCGGGACCCGGCAGGGTGCCGGGGTGCAGGCAGCGGATGGAGCAGAGCAGCGAGGTGAGCAGGCGGCCTCCTCCCGACCCACGGTCTGTGTGGCATGGAAAAGGGCCGTCCCCGCGTTCCTAGGCTCCCCTTCTCCCTACCACCGGGTGGCCTCCCCAGACCCTGCCCCCTAGCAGCAACGCCCCCAGGGACCACTGGACAGCCGCTACGCCCCAGGGTAAAAAAGCAAGCCTGGCCAGAGCTCACCTTTGCCGAGATCGGACACGGTCCGGGCTCTGCAAAAGCCGAGGGAGACCTACGACCCGCTGGGCCATGCCCTCCCCGCTGGGCTGTGCAGACCGGGCCACCGACCCAGGGAGAGAAGAGGGCGTCGCAGAGGCTGAAAGCAGATGGCGCCGCCCCCCGCCCCGTGCTCAGTCACCCGCGTTTGTGCCTGCCCCTCCCCCAGCCATGCCAGTGCTCCTTGGGCTTGACTCCTTGTCTCTCTCTGGCTGCCAGGGGGGCCCGCCCCACGCCCTTCCCGGCCCCCTTGGCTGGGTGGGACACAGAGTGGTCTTGTGTTGGTTTGGCCACATCTGGCAAGGTCCCAAAGTTTTCTCCTGCTCAGTCAACACCCCTGTTGATTCCACTGTTTGTATCTTGCGAGCCCCATTGAGGGGGCCGGTATTGACTGATAAACATCTAAAAGACCAATTCGAATGTACATATCTTGAATATACAGCCGCAGATGGCTCGTGGGTGTCTGTATTTTTCTGCCTTTACCGTAGGGTTTGTGTTGGGTGGAGAGTGGGGTAGGGTGACTGGACCCTGCTGTTGGGCACCTTTGGATAACTGGCTTCAGCTTTTCCCACCAAGTAGGCCTAGTCGGCTGTCGCACCTGCCCTTCTGTCAACATCACATCTCCCAGCGGGCCTCTGGGGGACAGGATTTGTGTTTGAGTAAACAGGCCACTTGCCTGTATGGCTGGCAGCTTGATGATGCCCACGCCCAAATCTTATCAGGTTGCTTTATGCTTGAGCCTGTGCCAGGCCTAGAGGTGGTGCGTAGAGCCGAGCCACGGCAGTGCCAGCTGCTGCAGAAGCTGTCCCGGGCTGAGGGCGGCCGGCAGAGCTGGGGACCCAGGGCGTGAGTATGAAGGCACATTTGGTCCCTCCCCACCCACCCCCTGGTCCATGTGCTGGCTGCTGGGGAAAGTAAGGTGGCAGATGGTCCCTGTGCTGGGAGGAGGCAGGGGGTTAGGCAAGCAGGTTGGATGTAACGGTTTTACCTGCAGGAGACATCAGTCTCTAAATAACTGTGAGTGGGTTCCTGGGAATTAGTCATGATGAAGCTTGTTCTGTGAGCTAGCTCCCAGCCACAGTCTCCTCTGACCAGGGCGGCTCAAACATGACACCCCCCTGAGCATGGATAATTATCCAGGAGCAAGAGGTATGGCAGTGCGTGCACGTCCCCAAGTTTTCCTGTTAAAAATAACCCGGCAGAGGGCTGCGCCAACACATGACGTTGTTAAGGCAAAGGTTTCTAAGTTACCAAACTTACTGACAGTTAAGCCTTCCCAAGGCGGGTGTGGGAGTTGGAGACTAAGCTGTGGCAAATTAATGGCCCTCCCAGGAGCAGGCAGGGTGGGTGCCTAGGGGAGCCGGTTCACACACGCCTGGCTGCGGGGCTTCGGACGGCTTGCACGGCCCTGGCTGCATGGTGCCAGCTTCAGCTGCAGAGCCGAGAGCTGCTTCATAGTGAGAGGCTTTGGAACTGTACCCCAAGATGAGGATGCTGGGGTGTTGGGGGTTACACATCTTCCACAGCTGATCAGAAAATAGATGAAATTAACAAGGAGCTGGGCAGGCTTTTTTTTTTTTTAATGCCAAAGCTTTGCTACAAAGAAGCCTCCTGTACCACCAGCAGCCAGATGGGGTGTGAAATACGAGGGAGAAGTGGGAGAAGAGAGTGGTGAAAGATTCAGGCTGTGAGCAAGATCGAGCAAGCGAGACCTCCAACGTGGGAGAGAGAGACCTGGGGTAGCTTTGTGCAAGATTCGCAGCAGCTGAGCAGGCAGCATGGTGGATGTTGAGGGGTTGTGTGTTTGGTGGTGAGGAAGGGAACGGTCCCTAAAATTAGGCCACAGTGGAACCATGCAGAGAATGATAAGGTTGGAGTATCATTCTGTCCACCCAAAGAGCTGGAGTGACCTGGTTCAGGATCGTGTGATGCAGGGAGCTTGGAGGAGGAGTTTGGGGGCAGGTGGAAATATGGAATTTGAAGGGTAAAAACCCACTTAGGGGTTATTTCTTGCAGTCAGTTTGGGGGCAGAGGATGAAGACCTCAATGTCATAAGACCTGCCACCAGCTGGCCATGTGGTCACCGGGCGGTCATCCTGCCTTCCTGCAGAGCTAGCCCATGTTCTTATTCATCTGCAGGTTGTCTGGGACACAGTGTGACAAGTGCAGAGCCCGTGGGCCTGATCTAGCCCAGCACCTGGCTGTATATGGCTCATGAGCTAAGAATAGCTCTTACTTTTTAAATCTTCAGGGAGGGGGGAAAAAGAGACAAAAGAATGTTTTGTAATACAGTAAAAATTATATGAAATTCAAATCCTGAGTCCCTAAATGAAATCTGATGGAGACAGCTATGTCCCATATATCTCCAAGTGCAGGAGTGGGTAGACAGTAGGGTATGCTCAGCCATGGCCAGCCATGCTCTACCAAGTAGGGGAGTAGGCAAACGGCCAGCCATGCTCAACCACAGCCAGCCACGCTCAGCCACGGCCAGCCATGCTCTGGCACAGTACAGGGAGGCTTTCTTGGCCACTGGACTTGAATCTGAGTGCCTGTTTCTGTCATGTGACCACACCCTGCAGCAGAGCCTTCCTGCCCACACAGGTGGGACACTGGAGGGGGATATCCTCCATCCTGAGATTTGTCCACCTTGCGAGGCTGAGGGGAAGGACAGGAGGAAGAGAAAAGAAAGAAGGGCCAGCTATGGAGCGATATGAAGAGACACCAGAAAGGACCAGAGGATGAGGGAAGACAGATGCCCTGAGCCTGGTTCTTGCACCGTGAATGACGTGCCAGGGCAGGCTGACCCTCGCTCATGGAGGCTCTTGCAAGGTCGACTCTGTGTATGTGCCTCTGCACTCTTGAATGACCCTGAGCCCAGTTTTCCTTGTCACTTCACCAAGTTATTTTCCCTCTTTGGGTTAAAGGCAGCTGCTGGGACAGGGACTCCAAGTCTCTAAGATGCTGTTGGCCACCTGCTAGGGAGGACAGCTCCCCACACCGGGAACCAGCAGATTCCCTGAAGTGCACCAGGCATTGCCTGCCCACTCTTTCCCCTTGCCCTTGCTCTTCACCCTTACCCTCCAGCGCTCTCTCTGTCTGTTTTGCTCTAGCTCAAGGCAGGACAGTCTGGCCCGGGTCTTGAAGTGACTTGCAGATTGGCCACACTCTTGCCCACCTGTGGCTGCAGAACCTGACCTTGCACTGGAGACCACATGGATCCGAAGGCCAGGAGGATTTGCAGGAGAAGTTGGCCAGGGCCTGCTGTGGCTGGGAACGGGGTGTCTTCCTCCTCTGCTCTCGCCTCGTGGAGTAGCAGTCATTGTTGTCCTCCAAGCAGTTACTAATCCCCGATTACACTGGTTTCTCTCCAAGTGTAACCCCCATCTTTCCCTACTGGAAGATGCGTGTGCATTGACTCACTGATACAGTCCAAGTGCCTAAAATAATGAATGAATGAGTGACTTGCAGTTGTTCCCTCGTGCCGGATGCCAGGGATCTAGAGACAGGGCCTTCAGACTGTGGCCCATTGGTGCCAACAGGAGCGACCGGCTTGGGTCCAGGTGTCCCAAGCTGTTTAAACTCCACCTCCTTCTATTTTTCACCCCCCTCCCCACTTCCTTAGGGACCTTGAGAAGTGATGACCAAAGAAGCCCTGGTGAACATAGCAGCGGTCAAGCATAACACTGTTGCCAGCCCAGCAGTACACAGCTTCCTTTGGCAGCCAGGCTCACTCCAAATGCATCTCACTCGGCCCAAGTCCGCCAAGGGACGAACACGGCCAACTTTGCACCGAGCCCAGGCCCCGGAGGTGTGTTCTCGGCGTGTCCCCGCTGCTTCCCCACTTGCTGGTCCCTGTGAATCCTCAAGCAACCAAAAGCCAGTGGCCTGTGCACCCAGGTCTCCAAACCAAGGTGTTCCCGACGGCCTCCCTGAGTGGTGGCAGCAGCAGGGGCCCACGGGGGCCTCTCTCAACAGGTACCCAGTCCTGCCTTCCATCATGAGGAAGAACCTGGTGGCCGAGGCTGTGGACACAGTGGCTGAAAAGGCCAGCTTGCTGCAGCTGGGCAACGTCCCGATCTGTTCCCCAGAGGACACTTACACCGTGAAGATTCAGGAAGATTCCAGAGCCCTGGAGAGGAACTTCATCACCCAAACCAAGACCCAGGCTTCCTGGGGGGCTGGGCACCTGGAGGAACCATCAGACCAAGAACCCAGGCTGCTGCTTGCTGTCAGATCTCCCTCAGGCCGAAGGTTCATCCGCCATTTCCGGCCAACTGATGACCTGCAGACCGTGGTAGCCGTGGCCGAGCAGAAAAACCAGACCACCTATCACCCATGCAGCATCGAGACCATGGAAGTGCCCAAGAGACAATTTTCTGACCTCAGCAAGTCTCTGCAGGAGTGCCATATCCCCCACAAGTCAGTGCTGGGCATCTTACAGGAAGATGTGGATGGCGGGCTCTGATTCCTTAAGTACCCAGCCAAGGCCTCCTGGGCCCACGAGCAAGGTATCTGGCTAAGTCCTGTGGCCTCCCGGGCAGCCTGGGTCTGAGTGCCAGGTGGGTCTCATGCAGCCACAGCCCTCGTCTCTTCTGAGGTTGTGAAGTCTGCAGGTGTGCTGAGCTCCCAGCCAAGCCTCCCCGGCCTCAGTAAGCTTCTCCACATCCCCGGGGTGAGCTGGCAGGGAACCTACCAGGTCCTGCTAGAACAATCCACTATGCTTTCTGGAGCAGCTGCTTGCCTTCTGTCTGGACACCAGTGGGTGCCTTTCTGTATTGAACACAGGATTAAACAGTTCCCCGAGAGGATTCCAGTGTGGTCAATAGCCAAGGTTTAGGAGCTATGTCTCTTGTGGGCATCTGTAAGCAACAAGCTGTTGACCCTGCCTTCACAGGCAGCCCCTCTGCTGGGCTCTGTGGGGCTTCTTGCAGGGCAGGGGTGTTAGCATTAGTGTGAGAGACCCTCAAAGAAACTAATGGGTCTTTCATGTATACAGTTCCCTCCATACATCAGCTTTCCTAAGTTAGTCCTAGCGCTGGCACCAAAGTGGCTTATGCAGGCCAGGGCTCAGCTGGGACCTACTTCTCAGTAGAGACTGTGGAGGTTTGCAGCTTGGATAGCTCTCTGGATGCAGAATGCTGCCCGGACAGGAAAGCCAGCACCACCTGACTCTCCGTGGTGAATTCCTTTTTTTTTTTTTTTTTTGGTAGGTGAACAAGCCCACAGACCTGTGCCAACCTGTGCTCACAGTGCCCTGGACTGCTTTTGACATGGGCATGTTGTTGGCATTGCCTCTGCTTCCCATGTTTAACTCCTCCTCATCAAACATGGAAGACCCTTTGCAGTGATAAAAAACGGTGTCCCTGTGTCTGATTTGGAATCCTCTGGAAGAGGAGAAAGACATCTCACTCATGTGCTGGATGCCGGCGCCCACACGCCTTGCTGATTGACATAACGTGCACCTGTCTGCTTGTGCCAGAGCATCTCCAAAGACCGCTGCAAGGCATTGCCCCTGATTCCGAAGGTGGTGACACGGGCCACCTGCTAGCTTCTCTCATCCTGCAAGTCCGTCAGTCTCCCACAGCCCACTTGGATCCCTTTGTGGCTGCATCACCACTCAGAGTAGGGACCATGCAGGTGTTCTGGGCATCTCCTGCCTCCTCAACCCCACATCCCAGCCATGGTGAAGCCTTGAGTGCTGTCAGGCGCCCCACCCTCTAAGGGCAGGGGAAGGCAGGGGTCTGCTCACACTCACCCCGAGTGCCCCAAAGGCAGCGTCACAGCTGGGCATTCCAAGGCAGGGTCACCTGGTCCTGCCTGCACCTCACGCCACTCACATCTCTCTGAAGCAGGCAGCTTCAGCCTTTTTCTTTTAGATTTCTCAGTGCCATCCTGGTTGGGTAAGCCGCTGTTTGGCTTGACAAGGTCAGCCAGGCTGGCAGTGCCTTGGGCAGGCCCAGGCAGCTGACTCTGGCAGCAGGGGCTGGCGGCTGCAGCCTGGGGCCCTCAAAACAGAATTCTGCCTCCTGCAGCTTGTGCACGTGACGCTGTCCTTAATCTGGAAGGCTTGCAGGGGCTGTGGGTGGGGTGGGGGAGGAGAACTCCCATACAATCCCACCTACTCAGAGGTAAGAATAAAATCCCACCCACTGGAGAGCCGGTAATTTTTCTGCAAAGCTCCCGAGAACTTGAGTAGAAGTAGTGTATGTGGAGGAGCTAGGATCTGCTGCCGTGGGGCTAACGGTTCTTATTTAACTTAGAATTTGAGAGTGTTTTTTTTTTTTTTCAAAAAAAATGGGAAGCGTGAAGGAAAACAGTACTTAAAATATATGATTGTGGCCAAATTTGAACCATGATGATCAACTTTCCTTTTTTTCTGGACAAAAGACGATAGTACCGACATTAAAATCCAAAGTATGTGTAACTGACTCAGTGGGTAAGTGCGTCTTGTGCGTGTTGGGCCTGAAACTCCAGCTTCTGCACCCTGGTAGGCAGAAGGGCATGGTGACCGCGTCCTCTCTTTGCTCCCCAGGAATCCAGTGGTTCTATGGTGCCCCTCCCCACGTGCCCATGCCCAAGACCCCACACGCAGCTCCTGCTTGCAGCTGCTCACTGTTCCTGTAGAAAGAGGCTCCTGCGTTTCCCCCAAGTACCCCTTCCAAGCACTCTGCTTCTAGGGACTGGCAGCAGTAATTCACTTGCCAGAATTCAGAGTTCTTGCTGGTTCTACAGGTGGTGATGCCAAGTAAAAACCTGAGCCCCCTACTCGTGGGGCATAGACACAGAGCCCAGGCATCTCTGATGGTCACCGAGGGTCTTTTCTGTGCCACACTTGATGACAGCCATTGGTGTCCCAGTTGATGAGAGAATGTTGGCAGGGAAACAGGATCGCACCACCGGACTTGAAGCTCAAGGCTGCTGAAGCCAGGGACAGGCAGGACCCTGAGCGGGCATCGATGCTTCTCGCAGGACCCTGAACGGGCATCGATGCTTCTCGCAGGACCCTGAGCGGGCATCGATGCTTCTCGCAGGACCCTGAGCGGGCATCGATGCTTCTCTTTCTCCCGCCTCCTTGACAGGGATGGCACCACCAAGACTGCTCATTAGGGTTGTGCACTTTGCACAGGTTGACACTTGATGGTAAGTTATTCTAGTACATTCCCTGACGAAGCCCAGTAGGTAAATCAGTCTTGGCAGCAGAAGGAACAGCAAGAGAAAATAAGTGACTCATGATTTCGAATCCAAAAAGAAAAAAAAAAAGCACCAGCAGATGGCAGGTGCTTTTAACACAATAGTGTTGGCCCTAAAAGTACCTAGGGACTCAGCCAGCAGCTGTCAAGTCAGGGCAGCATGCCGGAGAGGTGGCCCGTGAGCCTGACCAGGGACCAGCAGCCACCCCACAGAACAGACTTCACAAAGAAGCTGTGGGGTTCACACCAGCTCAGTTAACTACCTAGAGACCCCCTGCAGGATTGCCAGCTTCACAAAGCTGGTGTGGGAGGAGCTCAACTCAGAGTCAGTTCGTGGTCTGCTCTGCCCCAAATGACACAAGTGTCACAGAGCTTTGGCTAAGGTGTTTAGGATCGATCCAGGCACAGGAGTTGGGGTTTCCTGCCACTGAGGATCCGCCTAGAGCCGCCCTTTCACCTGGAAATAGGATCTTTGTTTTCTTAAGAGAACCACAGAGACAGCCCCACCATTTCGTCCCGGCATTGGCTTGGAGTCCCTCTGACCACAAAGCAGGGAGATTTGTTTCCTTGGTCCACCAAGACAAAGACAGTCACGGCCACTTTGAGGTTCACAAGTCGCCCGGAAACCGGAACCAACCATAGCACATTGCAGCAACAGGGGAGGTCAGGGGTCACGGTGAAGGAGTCAGAAACGGAAGTAGAACAGACTTTTGGTGACTCAGTTGCCAGCACATGTGCCGGTAACTCGCAGGATGGAAATAGCCCCGGAGACTGTGTGGTTGTCTAGGCTGGTGACATGCTGCTGACATGCCATTTTCCCTGCCAGCCCTCACTAACGTTCCTCTGTGTCCCTCCCACGCTCACAGTTAGAAGGCAGTGGCACTCCAAGCTGTACATGGGGAAAAGCAAGTCTCAAGGTATATCTGTTTTTTTAAAAATTTGTTTATCATTATTGGAAAGTCAAATTTACAGAAAGATCTTCCATCTGCTGGTTCAGTCCCCAAGTGACCACAACGGCTAGAGCTGAGCTGAGCTGATCCAAAGCCAGGAGCCAGGATCTTCTTCCAGGTCTCCCACGTGGGCACAGGGCCCAGGCTTTGGGCCATCCTTAATTGCTTTCCCAGGCCACAAGCAGGGAGCTGGAAGGGAAGTGGAGCAGCTGGAATACAAACCGGTGCCCATATGAGATCCCAGCACATGTAAGGCTGCTGCTCCGGGCCCTCAAGGTATTTGGATACACGTAAGTCCTAAGCCAAGAGGATGAACAACCCATGTGACACCAGCCAAAGGGAGGGCGCATGGCAGCCTCCTTGGGAATGCCCTACCCCAAGGAGGAACACCCTGGATATTGATGGAAGAGAAAAGATAAACTACCATGTCATGACACCTGCCGAGCAAGAGGTGGTCCAGCCTGAGCGGGGATAGGCGAGATGGACTTGGCGGGATGCTGGACATGTGAAGACATTTCGCCACGTTCTTGTCAAAACGAAGTTCAACGACCAGTTCATTCCATTCCAAAAAAAAGAAAATCGAAATACAAGTATAATTTGCCTCTAATATGCCTTTTTCCACGAATTTTGTGAAGCCTGCTTATAACTAAAGATTTCAAAAATAAAGTCTATTTTTCTACAGATATTTTGAAAAACTACCTCCAGGCAATCTATTTTTTTCTGGAAAAAAAAAATAAAGAGGATAATGTGACAGGTTGGGATGGATCAAGCAGACTTAGCCTGACCAGTATCACCCACACAGACTATTTCTGCCAGGAAGAGCAAGCAGGCAGTGACAGCCACCAAACACGTGGCAGGCAAGGGACCCAGCAGCCTGCAACAATATTCATAGGAAGGAAATGGATGAATGGCTTTGGACATTCTAATCAGAGAAAATCAAAGCTATTCATTGTTTTAATTAAGGTGAGCTACAGCTTCAAAAGGTCACTATTTCACTCAATGTTTAGATCTAAGTGAACTAATTAAAATGAATTGCCATCACACTCCAAGGGGTATGACTGCTGACCAAGGTTAGTTAGAAATCCTGGAACCATTTAAAGAACTCATTGTTTATCTTCTGCCTCCTTTATCTTCCCTTTCCCACTGCCCTTCCGTCCATTTATTCAAATCAACAGACATTTGGCAGACGTTTGTTCTTCAGAGGCCGAACCAACTCAGTCTCTTGTGGCCTGATGAATAAAGCCCCAGGGACAGGTGTTGGGCACAGTGGTGGAGCAGCCATGTGGGACGCATGTACCCCATATTAAAGCGCCTGGGTACAAGCC